TAAATGAGCCAGAGAAAGAAAAATCATCTCACCTTGATGTTAAGTGATTTCCTTTGGCCCTGGAAATAATTGGATTATCTTGCCTGATCATTGTCCTGATGATATTTGTTATGTCATGTGATTTCTGTTTTTATGTTTTCAGGTGTCACTATACCTGGATAAGTTTTCTGGGGTATGTCAATCAGTTCTGCATGAGTGCAAGCTAATATTTTTGCAGATCATTTGTGATCATGACCTTTTTGTGGAAATGCCTGGGAGAGACCCTTCAGATAGGTACTTTTATTTATTTGATTATTTTTTCACTACTTCCTGTTGTAAATATAATTGTTCTGCTTAAACTGCTATCTCTTTGAAATACGTTATCGTTCTATAATTTTGTGATATTAAAGCATTCCATAGAAGAGCCTTTATATGGGCTTTCACGTAAACCAGATACAATTCACCGTAATGACTGAATAGTAAATCAAAACTGAATCAATCAATGTCTTACTGAAATTTATTCTGTTTTTGGTTGGCCAAAACTGAATCAAATTGATTTCATATCTCTTAATATAAATCTCTAACATTTAGTTTCTCTAACACTATTCCAATGTTATGAGAAACACCATCTTTTTGTCACATACGATGTATCCATAAAATGAAGCAATTAAGCAGTTAGCATTGATGTTTATGCCAGTAAGTACTCAGTCCACTAACTTTGAACATGTATTGTAGGAACTACCTTTCCTCTGTGTTAATTCAGGAGCTTTTCTTTACCTGGGATCATGATGATTTAGCTCAACGTGCCAAGGTGAGTTGATTTAGGATATTGAACTGGCTCTGGCCCTCATATCATGGTTGTGTTTATGGTTCACTTGAATTTGATAGTTTTGGTTCCATTCCCATTACCTTTTTACCCCTTTAATATATCTTTGCTGAAGATATGCAGCATACTTTTGTCACTAACAAAGCTTTTGGCGTGATTAGGCAGCTAGAATTTTAGTAATTCTCTTGTGTAAGCATGAGTTCGATGCTCGATATCAAAAGCCTGAAGACAAGCTATATATTGCCCAACTATATTTTCCACTTATTGGCCAGGTATATATTTTTCTTGTATAAACATCTTGTTTATAGATTATTATTGTTTAGTGGGTACAAGTGACACATTGGAAAATGAATAGTGAACTCGTTTGCTTAAGTATACCATTGGTTGTGCCACCTATTGCCCATTGGTTTTAAGTTGGATGCTCATGTTGAATTCAGGGTCGCTCATTTATTTCACAATTATTATGATTTATTTTCCATCCATCCTGTGCTCTAGAATTTATTTTTTGGTTTATGACTCCATGTTCGGTGGTTGCCACTAGCTACCATAAAAAAAGATACCAGTAGTAAAATAGTTTGTGGGGTTAGTCATTTTATAGCATTTGTTGCATGCAACACTTTTTTACAAAGGTTTTTTTTACCCAAATTATAATGATATTGGAAGCTGGGACATGGTAATAGAGTTGCAATCTTCTTTAGCTTGACAAAGGTTTGTATATTCATTATGAGAAGAAGTTATAGTGAACTTTTTTGTCATGTTGGCCAAAATGAAAGTTTCTCATGTGAGAAACATAACATATCTTGCAAGTAATTGCTTCTTAGCTTGGTAGGTTGGAAAGATAAATAAACAAGATTGTGTAATAATTCCCGTTGAATCAAGTAAAACATAATGGTCAACTAGAATTCTATGTGTAATGATTTGGCTTGTTACCATTATTTCTTCTGGAAAAAGACTTTCTTCTTTGCAAAATAATAATAATAATAAGAAAAAACCTTAAAAAAGCAGATACTTAAAATTATTGGCTGTTGTAATTCAATTGAGGGCTTTTCTCTAAGTTTTAGCCACAGATTATATGGTGAATTAAACACTGGCTCTAGATTGGTGATTTATATTCAAGAATAGCAGATAAAAAGGATCTTTCGTTTCAATTTGGTTTGAGATCAACTCTGGCATCATGGAATGAGCAGAAAATAAAATGGCTGGGTTTATAGTTTAAGTGGTAAGGGATTGGCCCGGCTTTAAAGTCCTACAATTATGAAATATAAGACACAGCTGATATTTGATGTAAAGATACTGGTTTCCCAGGTTTGCCTGAGCATATGAAGTACAGAATTTTAATTTTCATATATGGAACATGTTGAATGGTCATCTCAAAAGAAATATAAGACAGATGGAGAGTGGGTTTTTTGGTCTAGATTTACATTGCTTTCCATTTGTTGGGCAAAAAAATAAAAAAATAAAAAAATAAAAAAAGGGAAGACTGGATAAGTTGTACATGGGAAAGCTACCAATGCTGCCTATTAATAGTTTTATCAGTTTCTTATTTGTGTGTTTCCATCCTCTGCAGATCCTAGATGAAATGCCTGTCTTTTACAATCTAAATCCTGTTGAAAAGCGTGAGGTTTTGATTGTTATCTTGCAAATTATGCGCAATCTGGATGATGCATCACTAGTCAAGGCTTGGCAGCAAAGCATTGCTCGAACTAGATTGTTTTTCAAACTTTTAGAGGAATGCTTGGTTCTCTTTGAGGTAGCTGTATATTTAAAAATTCATTTTCCTTTTTGATATAGCTTCTGAATCTTTTATTCAATTAATTTAATTCTTAGGTCATTGTTTGATGGAATTAAGGCTTAATTGATTTGGGTTTAGGGTTCATCAATTTTTAATTGGTATTTAAACTTTGTAAAATATTAAGCATGGACTGTAGCAGTACCAAATGAGTAGTTTATGCATTCGGTTGTTAAATTTTATTTTTAATGACCTGGTCATGCTCCTGCATTATTTTGTCTTCTTTGCACACTAGGAAGGTTGAGAGTATAAAATCTTCCACCATTGAAGCCTTGGACTTCCTTAGAAGACTGCGTGCAACACCTTTTGAAGTATTTCTTGTTTGCCAGTGTAGCCTAGATCTTTTCTTGTTTGGGTTTTGTTCTTTTCTCTTTGGTTAGGGGGTGGGGGACAGAAAGTTGGGGGCACAAAAGGAGTGTCATATAGCTGGAAGATCTCTATCCAAAACCGAACCTATTATCATTGAAGCTAAAGCCTAAATCCTTTTAGCAGACATTATATATGGGATTATGATGCTGTCACATGTTCAATACTTCTGTTTCACATAGTTATCAAAAAGGACTTGTGCAGCTTTGAAAATGAGTCCTTGTCATTTTGTAGGTTTTCTAATCTGATTCCATTGGAACCCGTAGTAATTGTTAAACTAAACAGAAGAATAAACTGTTGTTGGTTTTTCAGAAATGCTCGTCCTTGTAATTTGAAAGGTTGCGACTCTGAGCTCATTTTTACCTCTCAAAGGGAGAACATAACCTTAGACAACATGTCATGGCTCGCATCTCTTCTGGTCTTCTTTCTTCTTATTGTGTAGTGTGAAAATTTGAAATGTAGGGTTCAACACAAGGCTTGCATCTAACCTAAAACCAATTGGCCATAGGTGGAGTAGCCCTCCTTATATTCAGCCCACATGTTTCTTAGATACTTTTCTGATGTGGAAATTTCCCACTTGTAGAACAACAGAAAACTTCAATTTTTACCTATGAATATTTTCTTTATTTTTGATTCCTTAGCTTTTGTTTATTGTTAAAAGACCTAATGCTGATTTCACATACAGACTTGTCTCATGTATTAGCTTTTCACGAAGTGTTAACAAGTGCAGTATGGGATGTTCTTGAGATTAGAATTTTAGAAATATTTATTCTTGCATTTCTTGTACCTTAAATTTAGTAATTTACCCCATATTCTTAAATATTAATGTTTTCCAAATAAAGTTATTGTCTCCAAAGTCTGAAATTTGTACCCAAAAAGAAAAAAAAATTGTTATTTAATTATTTTGAACTACCATGTGAAATGTGATTGATGTATTGAAGCATGCCAAATTGTACTAAATTTATATATTTTAGCCATACCTATTTGTTTTAAATTCCATGTCCCTTTTTTTTTTTCTGGCATTATTTTCATGTTGTCTTCAAAACATGAGTTAATAGTTTTAAATTCTGGTGTTGTCAATATTTCTTCTAGTATTTTACTTTGTTCATAACTTCATATGTATATAGTTGCTATTGTGAAGCAATATGGAAATTTGGTTTGATATGTATTTCTCATTTTTCTATTTTGTTACTTACTATATCCTTATACTGACGTTGCATGATGCCTTAACAGCATAGAAAGCTGGCTGATGGTATACTTATGGGCTCCAGTTCTCGCAGTCCTGTTGGTGATGGTCCTGCTTCCCCAAAATATTCCGATAGACTTTCTCCTGCTGTCAATAATTATCTTTCTGAGGCATCAAGGCAAGAAGTCAGAGTGAGTTGTCCATTTCCCTGTTGCTATTAATATTCTTAATTCTTTTGAAGTCTATGGTGTCATGGTCTTGTTGTTTATCTCTAATCCTTCTCCCTGACAGATTAATTATTTGATCATTTTGGTTTTTTATTTTTCTTTAACGATTTGGTGCATATTCTTTCTTTGATACTTTAAGGAAATTGTCTCTATTAAATTATCCTTATCCATCTCAATCTGAAACACAGCCTCAGGGAACACCTGAAAATGGGCACTTGTGGCAGAGGGTGAATTCTCAGCTAAGCTCTCCTAGCCAGCCATATTCCTTGAGAGAAGCTCTGGCTCAGGCACAATCATCTAGAATTGGAGCTTCTGCCCAAGCACTTAGAGAATCTTTGCACCCAATTTTGCGACAGAAGCTGGTAGAGTTCTCTCTTTTAGTCTAAATTTCATATTTTCTATTTTTCTTTTAGTATGTTATAACTTTTATGTGCTTTTCAGGAACTTTGGGAAGAAAACTTGAGCTCTGCTGTCAGTCTACAGGTCTTGGAGATAACTGAAAAATTTTCTGTGTTGGCTGCATCCCGGAACATAGCTACAGATTATGGAAAACTTGATTGTATCACAGCCATAATCATGAGCTTCTTTTCCAAAAATCAACCACTTACTTTCTGGAAAGCTTTCGTTCCTGTTTTTCACAATATCTTTGATCTTCACGGAGCAACACTAATGACTAGGGAGAATGATCGTTTCTTAAAACAAGTTGCCTTTCATCTTCTTCGTCTCGCTGTCTTCCGCAATGATAATATCAGGAAAAGAGCTGTAATCGGGCTCCTGATACTTGTGAGGGTAGGTTCCTAGACATTGGTTTGGCTTCTCTACCCTTTAATATTGAAGCGATGCAAAATGACGCTGGGGGGCTCTATGGAATTGTTGGCCTTATGATCTTATTATTTCTGACCTAACTGTTCTCTTTATATTTGCAGAGTTCTTTGTACTTCATGCAGACTGCAAGGCTGAGGGTGATGCTCACCATTACATTGTCAGAGCTGATGTCTGAAGTGCAGGTGACACAAATGAAGTCTGATGGAACATTAGAAGAAAGTGGTGAAGCACTGCGTCTCCGAAAATCTCTGGAGGAAATGGCAGATGAAACAAAGAGCTCTAACCTATTGAAGGAGTGTGGGCTTCCTATAAATGCTCTGTCAGTGACACCACAAAAGTTTGCAGAGAACAGGTGGTCCTGGTCAGAAGTGAAATCCCTGTCTGATAGTCTTCTTCTTGCCCTTGATGCTAGTTTGGAACATGCACTGTTGGTAAGTTAAAGATCCCTCTGTTAATTTTTACCTGCTATGGGCTGGACTATGGCCCTGGGGGTATGTTATTTCTGTGAGCTATCTCATCTCTGAGGTATCAATTCCCATTGTGTAAAGACCAAATTAATATGATTAATACATTGATTAAAGAACTTAAAAATATATTCCTAGTCATGCATCCTTAGAGGAGCCTTCCTGCCTCAAAGTGATAGTAGAGACCAACTTATGGCAACCTAATATATCTTTTGGTTGTGATAATCTGTGTAACAAATGGGATTCTGATGACTGTGCTGAACAGTTGTGTAACTCCTTATTCTTGAATTATATTTCTTCCCCATGCACAAGCATTTGACTTGATGGCATAGATTTATACTTCAAATCCACAAGTAATTTTCTAATCCTCTCGACAAAATAAATCTTTCTTCTGCTTTCATGTATTATGTGGAGAAAAGTTGTTTGCCTTGGTTTATTTACATATTTGTTTGGATCAAAATCCAGTAAATGGCTCAGAAGTGTGTTGTAAAACAATGCATAAAACATTTTGGCTTATAATGATGAGAGTTGTAGTTCAGAGTTAAGAGAGTATATGCAAAAAAGCTTTAGGTAATATGGTCCTGGATATGAATGGACATAGCAAGAAATCTTTAACAGTTAGTTATAAAACATGTAGCTACACATAAGATAAACTCCCTGAATGAAAACTAAGTTATGTTATGAAAGGAGTTGCAAGTAATTAAATACAAATAACTTACAAATAGACTTTGTATGTCTTGTTTACAAAACATCTAATAAAACCTTTAAGCCAGATTTCTGCTTTTATTAATATAGGTTTCTCTTACTAAACCTTATTAAATATATATGTACACTTGCTCATAGCAGACATAGGAAGTCCATCAAATTTTAAGAACCATAGCAACTCTTCTCTGTACTTATCTGAAACGAGGTTGAGAGAAATATGGTGAGAATTGAACCATTAAGCCTTAATCAATTAAGGACAGATAGCTAAACAAATTTGTGGAGTCTACTAGCATAGCATTAGGCATTGGATGAGTATTAAGCATTGTGCATTACATAACTAATGTAGGTGATCAGTTCAACAACTTAGCCAGGCAGTTAATATAACAAACCTTGAATGGGCATGTACTTATTACTTAACAGTTTAAGCTTGGTATAAGCTTAGCATAACAGATTTATCATATTATGTAATTCTTGATAGATTCTAGGCATAATACACCATAAGTTTTTATTCAGTAGGGTATGGAGTTGACTGAAATTGCATGCACTGACATTGGTGTTGGAGGACAAGGCCATTTGGCAAAACTACTTTTATGTTAGCTTTTTAGCACTTTTTCTATTTGATTTTCTATAAGCTTGTTGAATAACAAGTGTTATTAGACAAATAAAGTGCTAAAAAACTAAACATACAAGCAGCTGTGTCAAAGAATCTCTTTTAGTCTCAGTACGTCCCTACTGTGCATATCCACTATTCCTGCACACGGGTCTATAAAAGCACCTAAAAAGGGTCTACTAATAACCTGATCCATAAGGGCTTGTTTGGCTGGTGGTAGTGGCTATTCCTTGATTAAATTATAAAAACAAGTCGAAATTAAGAAACTTTGACTGGAAGCTATGAATAGCTAAGCCTTAATGTCTAAATTTTCCTTTTATATTAGTAAAGGATCAAGGAATACTATTCCTTACTCAAAAGTGCAGTTATGGACTAACAATTTTGTTCTATTTACTTAAGGCCAGGGTTATTAGTAGAAGTTGCGGAAAACTATTGTCTTTAGATAGAAAATGATTCTATTTTTCTATTTTTGCACTGTATAATATGCTGTTTGCCAGCACATATGAAACTTCCTTTTACTTTTCCTCCCAATGTTCTGTCTTTTCTTTTTCTTTCCTTTCTCTATTATTTTGGAGACTTGTTTCATAGTTTAAGCCATGGCTAACCATGTTTCTCTTCCATTTTAAGCATGTTGAATACTTGAAACATGGTGCTCTTGTATTGTCTAAAATTACTTTTAAGGTTTATTAAAGACTAATTTGTGAAAATGGTCCCCTGCCCTTATTGTGCTAGGAAGAAATGTGGTTCCCTAGGAAGTTCTAGTGGATGCTGTCCTATCTCTTGCTCTTTGGCCAAACTGTTGCTATTTTGCTATCTTTGCTTGTCATCTTGATGGAGAAATGCTTTTGCAATAACACTAAAATATTCAACTTTTTTCCTCACAGGTCTCTGTGATGTCTATGGATAGATATGCTGCGGCAGAAAGCTTTTATAAACTTGCAATGGCATTTGCTGCTGTTCCTGATCTTCACATAATGTGGTTGTTGCATTTGTGTGATGCACATCAGGAAATGCAGTCTTGGGCTGAAGCTGCACAGTGTGCTGTTGCTGTTGCTGGTGTTATAATGCAGGTAAAAGCAATGTTCTTGATACGTACTTTAGTCACATACTAGATTATTTCCCTTTTTGAAATTCAAGGCAAGTAAACCTTTGTTCTGGATACATGATGGTTCAGCTTCTAAAAGGGTTTCTAACACTGACCACGGAAGTAAGATTTTGTGAACAAAAAAGTGGTCAATTTACTTCTGGGGTTGATTCAATTGCCAGCTATGACCTGAAAACCTCCTGCCTACTGACCTCTGCTCATCATGGTTCTATTTGTTAAACATATCCATCTTTTTGGGCTGTGGTTATTGCCACACTTGAATTTGTTATGGCCACACAAATTTTAAAATTTTTATCTTAATTTGGCTATTAAGAACATATAAAATGTTAATGTTTATTAACAGATTGAAATCAATTTATACATAGATATTTCCAAACATCATAACTAACTGCTTAAGAATAAAAGCTATAAACTAATCAAATAATAGTTAAACTATGTGGCCCTAACAAAATTGAGGGTGGCCATAACCACATCCTTCTTTTTGGTTCTTGAAATTTTATTGTAAATCTTCTTTTGGAATTTTTCTGCCTTGTAGTGGGAACCAGAAAGACTACTCACAAACATAGCTAAAAGGACAAGAGACTAATCATATTTTATTCACTTATTTTTGCAATCATTTCTGAGTATCTTTTTGTTAGGCCCTTGTTGCTAGAAATGACGGCATTTGGAGCAAGGATAATGTATCTGCTCTACGTAAAATTTGTCCAATGGTCAGCAGTGAAATTTCATCAGAAGCATCGGCAGCTGAGGTGGAGGGATATGGTGCTTCGAAGCTCACAGTTGATTCTGCTGTGAAGTACCTACAGCTTGCACATAAGCTTTTCAATCAAGCTGAACTCTATCATTTCTGTGCAAGTATACTGGAACTAGTAATTCCAGTATATAAGAGCAAGAGAGCATATGGACAGTTGGCTAAGTGTCACACATTCTTGACAACTATATATGAATCAATCCTGGAACAGGAATCAAGTCCAATTCCATTCACTGATGCCACATACTATAGAGTGGGGTTCTATGGCGAGAAATTTGGGAAGCTTAATCAGAAGGAATATGTATACCGTGAACCGCGTGATGTTCGCTTGGGTGATATAATGGAAAAACTTAGTCATATATATGAATCTAGGATGGATGGGAATCACACTCTGCGTATTATTCCAGATTCAAGACAAGTCAAGGCAGAGGAATTGCAGCCTGGAGTCTGCTCCCTGCAAATAACAGCTGTTGATCCTGTTATGGAAGATGAAGATTTAGGAAGCAGAAGGGAGCGTATCTTTTCTCTTTCTACTGGAAGTATTCGTGCACGTGTCTTTGACCGGTTCCTGTTTGATACTCCATTCACAAAAAATGGCAAGACCCAAGGTGGATTGGAAGACCAGTGGAAAAGGCGGACCGTGCTTCAGACTGAGGGCTCTTTCCCTGCTTTGGTGAATAGACTCTTGGTGATAAAGTCTGAATCACTTGAATTCTCCCCAGTTGAAAATGCAATTGGAATGATTGAAACTCGGACAGCTGCACTACGAAATGAGCTTGAAGAGCCCCGTAGTTCTGAAGGAGATCAACTTCCACGTCTTCAAAGTCTTCAGAGAATTCTTCAAGGCAGTGTTGCAGTTCAGGTGAGCTCATTGAAATTTCCCTTTCAGTTTCTCATTTGAGTAGCTAGGTTTCTAATTCCAACTGAAATGCTTTACTTTGTAGAACTTGTACTTTATGTTGAATGGACACTTGATTGTTGCCCACCTTATCACAAAATGAATTTGCTTTAATGCAGGTGAATAGTGGAGTGTTGAGTGTCTGCACAGCTTTCTTGTCAGGTGAACCTGCTACAAGGTTGCGCTCACAGGAGCTGCAGCAACTAATTGCTGCACTGCTTGAATTTATGGCTGTATGCAAGCGCGCCATCCGAGTACACTTCAGATTGATTGGAGAGGATGATCAGGATTTCCACACACAACTTGTGAATGGGTTTCAGTCTCTAACTGCAGAATTATCCCATTACATCCCTGCTATCCTGTCCGAGCTATAAAATTATTACTTGCGCAGTTGCTTCTCTGGTTCCCTTCTGTACATTTGCTAATATCTCACGGTTGGTTCGTTGTATGCGGTGGACTGATTTTATCCCAATTCAATCTCTTTGTACCTTTGTTAAGCATTTGTGTTGTGTAAAGGCTGTACATGTTTGGCAGCTTACACGTAACCTGTACTACAATGTTGTAATTTTCTTTCTTGATTTTTCTTAAAGCTGTTTGATTTTATTTTCTTTTTATTATATTCTAATTTGCTAAAGCTTTTCACTTTTATATTTAGGCAATAAGACTTCTTTTCACGAAATCATATATTACATGTGGAGGACTCAATGTGAGTACATTGGGTAGATGTGCTATGAGAATTGTACATGTGTCATTAGTAGGTTTTTAGTTATGACACAAGTAATTCTTCAAATATAAGATCATCATTATTATATCTAACAACTCATGTATTTTGATGTTATTAGAAATTGTCACTTCAAGGGATTGCGAGTAATATAGTTGTTGCGTGCATCATAAATCACATGAGAGTAATAGATGAGTCAAAATAGGATTTGTTTCTCTTGAATTTATGAAAGAAGCTGAGGATACTTGCAAAGTTTATAAACATGGTAAGAATGAAGGTTGATTCAAGATGTCTATCTTGGGAATCAAAAAATGATACATCAATCGTTAAGGATGATGACACATACCTTGTATCTTGCTTGATGGAAATATTAATGATGATGTGATTGAATTACATTTGTATCAATCATAGAAAGGTTTGTTGAAGCAATCGCCTCTTTTCATCATGTTGGTTTGCAATGATGTATTACTAGATATTGTTCTTGGTTGAGCACTGTTTTTAAGTGCTATCGTAATGGAAACCTAGATAGTTACACACTTAGTGTGATATAGGGATTGAAATTTCAATAAATTCAGGTTTGTGGATATGGATTAATTTGAGTGAAAATAGCTTAGTTACAAAAGAAATAAATTAATCAAGATCTGAAATAAATTGGTAAAAAAAAATTAATTTAATTCAAGTTTAGATTTGCTTGAAATTAAGAACAAGAAAAAAAAAATCTATAAAGAACAAAAAAAAAAAGATCTAAAGTGATAATTAAGTTTTCGGAGGACCATATGGCCAAGACCCTAACCCATCGGGTTTAGGGTTTGAGCGACATATGGCACTAGGAGCTTTAGCAAAAAATCTCAATCTATATTGGACTAGGGTGTGCGGTAAAAAGGGGAAAAAATAAGGGAAGGAAAGACTGTGAATAAAAGTGTTTAGGAAAATAAGAAGGCAGAGAATTAGAATAATTTGAGAGAAGAAGTCCAAATGTGCGGTGGAAGATGGGAACGCAAAAATTAAATCCGAAATAGAAGGATTATTGGAAAAGGTGAAGGCATATAAGAAAACTAAATTGACAGAATATCAAAATAAAAGGAAATTAGCTCATTAAGAATATGTCGTGAACTAATTGATTTGGACAAACCAAGACAAATTACTTTGGCCAAAATCAATTAGGTTATGTTTGGAAACTTGAATTTGAATTTAATATATATATATGTTAAATACATGTATTTACATTACACAAATATATATATTTAAAATATATGTAATTTAAATACCGGTATCGTAAATACTTAATAAAATGCACAATTTGGTTAAATTAACTATTATAAAATTCAAATTAATTTAATGTTAATCCCTCGCATTGAGACATTTTTACAAACACTTGGTAGTGCCTTTTCCTTGACTTGGCTGTTGCCCACTTTGCCCACTTTCAAGTCATCAACTCAAAAAATACAAGCTTATGGTGGTCTCAATATCACCACCAATAAACTACCTCTCCATAAATGACTTGATCATTGGAGTTTCATCACAGAGAAGCTATCTTATTGAAGAGGAAGATGTAGAGAATAAGCAAAGAATTTGAAATTCATTGTCAAATTCATGGGTATGAAAGGGTTTTTAAAATACATGCTATTTAATCTTTAAAATACATAGGATAAAATACATATATTTAAATCAAAATTCAAATGCACTCATATTTTGTAAAAACAAACAGTGTATTTGATTTTATAATCTCAAATTCAAATACACCCTTTCAATTTTGTTGGCCTAGATGGCAACCCAAGACGGGGGTGAATTGTGTTTTTAAAGATTTTATGCAACTTTCAAAAACAAAAAATGACCAAGCACAAGCAATTGCAAATAACTAATTTCAAGTGTAGAAATTAAAAGTTAACGGAAGAGAAAACTCAAACACAAGGATTTATAGTGATTCGGTCACAATTTGTGCTTGGTCCACTCCTCAAACCGTTTGCTTGAGAGTTAGTTTTAGATTCAAAATCTCTCCTCTAATTTCGGGTGTAGAGGTAACCGTTTGCAATAATTTTGTCAGTGCTATCCACCTTCAACAATTCAACCCCTTATTACAATCTTTGACAAACCCAAACTTATCCCATAAGGATGGTTTTCTCGATCTAAAAAGGTTACCCAATTGCTTATATGTGCTATTGAACCGTTTAATCCTTTTGTTACAAATCTCTCAACCCTTCCTACACCTCAAGGATGGATTAGTAGATGTAACAAGGTTTCCCCAATCTCTCTTTCACTTGTTATAATGAAAGAGAACAAGAAAATAAGAGATTTCATAAAGCACAAAGTAGAAACTTAATTACTTTTGATTTTTCAACTTTGAAGGCTCTATTCTTCGTACTTCTCCACTCTTCCAAATCTGGTTTTATAGCTTGAAAATACTCAATCTGTGTGTTTTACCATTAGAACTCCTTTTTGGAATGAATATATTCTAAATATAGTAGGTAAATTAATGTTCCAGCACAAGGGGTTAGAAACTGCTTTTAGGAGTTGGAACTTTAGTAGGTCAATTGCATAATGCACTTTCTATTTTTGACTCCCCACAATAAGAAAATATAATCATGCAATTAAATGAATTTTTACCTAAAAAGAAACACGTTCAAAACTTAATATTTGAAACATAATTCAATATTGGTAAGAATAAATCATATATTCACAAGTAAATCAACTTCCAATCAATTCAATAAATAATATAAATTCCAATTCACATTTGATTTTCAAATCATCAACATCAAGATTAACAAAATTCACATTCCCAAACAAAGCAATAAGAGTTTAACAATCAAATCAAGTGAGTTCATTTTTTATTAACTGAAATTAAGAGATACTAATAATAATGAAAGTCGTTAAAAATGAAAATAAAACCAAAAATGATTGTGGAAGTGAAAGAAAAACTAAAAGAGAATGCCCTTTTTTTTTTATTGAAAGGGAAAATATGCCTTTTCTTTTGTAATATTGAAAAGGAAATTTGCAAACAAGTAAAAGAAACAAGAACTGTGCGGAAGTAAAAACAAATTCAGTACCATATGCTGTGAAGCTTATGGCTATAATATCTTTTAGAAGAAATTAAAGTATGGAAAAGAGATAAGAGAAAACTGAAGGAAAGGCACATTGAAATATTATTGAATGATATGAAAATATTGCATAAAAACCTTTTATATAGAGGTTTAAGTAGCCTATTAACTAAGCAACTCTAAATAAAATGTTGTTGACACCACTACATAGAGATCCTGTTCCAGGGGCGAACTTGCCATGACAGAAGTTGTTGCAACTATCCTTTGTCAGACTGTTACTATTCTATGTGCGGACACTAACCTTTCCTTGTGCCATTACTTTGGTTGTTCCTGAAACCATATTACATTGAGAGTTCAAATGTCGGCAAAAGAAGCATTAATAATCTTTATATTTTTCTCATAAATTGACAAACAATTTCATTGAGAAGACATAACTTTAATACTTTATCTTTTATTCTTTCATCGACTTCTGTTAATTTCTAATTTTATGCTTTTTATGCAAACCTATTCACTAAAGTAACGCGGCAACCAATAAATAGTCGCATGCTTTTACTTTTTTTTAAGAGCTGCACAATTAAAGAGGCAAGGTAGTCCAGCATTTAGAGGCCTGTTAGTCACTTTCCTGATGGAATGTGCTTAGAACTATCAAATTTTGGTTCTATTCCTAGGCCCATTCTCCTTTCTCCCAAAAAAATATTCCACTGAAAAAAAAAAAAAAAAAAAAAAGAGAG